CACAAGTCAGTGAGTGTAACAATAATTCACAATATAAACCAAAAGTTCTACTCTATGGGGTAAACCACATTTTAGTATCTGTACAATGGTATGTCTCAGTCAAGGTAAAATTTAAAAGAATTTACAACTCTTACTTTAAAAAAAACAAACCAAAAGAAAATGCTATGAGTAAGGACTGGACTTCTGCCAATTCACAGAAATGAAGAAAGAAATATTTAATATAATGTAGATGCCCTTCAGAAAATCTAGAAGAGTACAAACACTGACAAGAACATTTGATTGTCACAGTATTTAAAGGTAATTGATCCCCATTGAGAAAAAGGACACAAAGGACAGGTCAGACTTATGCTTAGCACACAGCAAAGAAACAGACCATCTTTCTTACTGGAAATATGCTCAAAGCGTAATTTAAAGTAATTAAAAGACAGAAAGAGATAGAAGAGGCCTCAATTTGATTACTGATTCTGTTACTGTTCTTTTAAGTCAATATATCATTTTTTCTAATGCTTAACATATAAGGGTATAATGTTGCTGTTAAGTTTAAGATATAAGACAACATTAATACTGGCACTAATTAAAAATGTCATGATTGAGGGGATCATTCCATAATTTAAAAAAAATCTCAGTTTGTAGATTAAAAGTGTAAGAAGTTACTTCTGGAGTAACGTGCACCATCACTGTCAATGCAATCGTAAGAAATTATTGATTAGCACTGATCAGTTATATTCTAAATGTAACAAAATTAAATTTCCTTGGTGTTAACTAAAGAATATATGCTCTATGATTACTAATAAACTAAGCCAACTTTTGGGAAGACAAAATTCAATAGTGCCTTCAAATTATATGAATGGGTACAATACTACTGGTAAGGATATAAAGAATAGGAGTAATTCACTGAATACTATTTAATATGATGATAACCGTTATTGCTATTCTAAATACAAAGTTAGAATTAAATAAAATGTAACTATAGCAACATGATTTTAGGTAGTGTTTTAATAACAAATAATATTCTTATCAAAAGACCCAGTATTTTGATCTTAAATAAAGTTTGCAAAACACTATTTTCTATTGACATTCTTATTCCATTATATCAACTGCTGAGAATTTATACATAAAAAGAATTCTTAGAAAATATATTTCTCAAAACATATAGAAATTTGATTTCACAGCACGGCTAAGTGGAAAGAATACTAAACTAGGTAGCTAAGAATGCTATTGTGTTATCCTATAGAATTAGAAATCAGCTTATGACCTGTGAAATACAAAATTCAAGAACTGGATAGTACAATATCTTAAATTTATTCCAACTCTGAGAACTTGTGAATTAATACTCAATCAAATTCAATTTTAAAATTATTTATCACCTCCTAAAACTGCCAGGCACTGTGTCAGGACTGGGGTATTCAAAAGTGAGTAAGACATTGCCTCTACCCTCAAGTTGCACTCCAAACTAACACACAGTTCTACTAGCCTACTCTGCTAATTCGAAAGCACTTACTGAGCACTTACAATAGGCCAGGCCCTGTTCTATTACTGAAGATACACCAACAAACAGGACAGGCTAGTTCTTGATTTCTTTCCAACCAAGGGTAAGAGAGAGCAGGAATAAAGCTAATAAGATGATGTTAAATAGTGATAGCTTTTACAAGAAAGATAAAAGAAGGTAAATGTGATAGAGGGACTCAAAAGACCAGCACTAGATAGGGTGGTGTCGGAAGGCCTCTCTATGGAGGTAGCATCTGGACTGAGGCTGAATAATGGAAAAGAACCAATCATATGAAGAGTGAGAGAATGGAGAGGGAAATTTCAGAGCATCCTGGGTAAGAGATAAGATCTAATTCTAAGGCTAAGAAGTGAGTAAGAGAGTAGCTTAAGAACAGAAAGAAAGCAAATGTGGCTACAGTGTAGGAGAAGATGCAGTTAGGAGACATGGGTAGCCAACCAAGGTGTTGCTGTGTGATACATGGTAAGGCATACTTTTTTCTACTTTCTATAGGAATCCATGGAATGCTTTAGGCAATAGAATGGCATGGTACAATATATGGTTTATATTTATGGAAAGTATGATTCACTTCCTATAAGCTATAAATATTAATATATAAGCTATAAATATCAATACTGTTATGAGTATAAACAACTCAACTCACTGACTATAAATAGTAGAATATAATGGAAATGAATTATAGCAACATAGTTTTGGGAGAAGTAAAAGTGAAAATAGGAGACAAATGAGAGATTACAGACAAATGACTTGGGCTAATCTTGAATAGTGAAGGTAAAAGTGGTTAGAATTGGGCTCGATTTTAGAGCTGAAATCAGCAGAATCTAAAGATAAATAGGATGAACTGAGTGAGAGGCAAGATGACTCCCAGATTTCAGACTTAATCAATGTTTGGATAGAGTTGCCACTTCCAGAGGCAGGAAGATGGGGTGGGGGAAGATTAAGTTGTGGCAGGGATGGGAAGAATGAATGAACTTGCTGCTAAACACACATAGCTATGATGTCTTTACATTCACGGGTTTTTAATTTTTGTGGAAATGGGAATTCCATTATATGCTGGCATACAAGATTTCTGTAATTTGTGACAGAGCCAGGCAATTTTTAGTTTAGTTTAGGCCACTATCCCTGTTTAGAAAGCCATTTCCTAACTTCTCTGACTGGTAAATATTGTAACTTTAAAGACTTAACTGAATGTTACCTAGTCTCTAATATCTTGCCAATCTACATTTTTCAATAGCAAGGTCATTATTTTATCTTCCCTGTTTCTAAAAAATACCCCGCTTATATATCTAACTATTATAGCTAATAGGACATATCATCATTAATTACCTATTAATGTCCAAAAGTAAATTACTCATAGCTCTTTTTATAAAACTTATATGTGATATAGTTTACATATTCACACACACATTTTATATATATCAAAAAATTTATAACAGTTTTCTCAAAATAAGGTATTCAGACTGTCTATATTAGTATAAAAAGGAGTTGTTGTTGTTCAAAAAATAAATGCAATTTCCTAGGCATTATCTCAGCCTTAATTAATCAGAATCCCTAAGAGTCAGATCCAGAAATCTGCATTACAAGAGGTTTCCCAGGTGATTACACTCATACTGACTTTTGAGAAACTTTATACTGGACTCTAAGCTCTTGAGCAATAGAGATAAGGGTTTGTTTTGTATAACCAGTGTCTGGCAGTAGTGCTTCAACAATTTTTTTTTTTTTTTTTTT